ATTGCCTGAAAACTTTTAAATATTCTGATGCAAAGGCACACTCTAGACCAATTACATTAAAATCTTTAGAGATGGGAGCCAAGTATCTTATTCTATTTCATTTTATTTTATTTAGACAGTGGCCTTTGCAATTCAGTTTAACAAACATGGATTGAACCTCATTAATCCTAAGCCAAGGCACTGTGTTAGCTGCTGTACTTACAAAGATAAGCATGAATTCCTGTTAGCAGCTCTCAACCATTCAGAAATTGTGGCTGCTACAACTGCTGCAAAAAGCAAGTGAGGCTGAGGCAGACCCAGGAACCAGGAGGCAATCAAAGAATCTTCGAAAGTAAAACAATCAATGAAAAGAGTAAATCATGTGGTTTCATATTATAGTGCCTCATCTGGTCTATTCATTGCATCACCTCTTGGGAAGAAGGACCACGAACCACAAGACTTGAAAGGTGGACGCTCATTCTGTCATCACTTGTGAGGTTTCAGAGTAGGTCAGGCAGCCTACAGCTGGCTTGCCTTTCAGGGTTAGCCAGAGAAAGGAGACAGCATTGAAATGTTCACTCAGACATTTATTGAACACCCATTTTGTGCCAGGGGGTATGTTAGACACCCGGGCTACAAAGATTATCCACATTTTCTCAACTCAAAGTGCTTGCAGAAGAGATCTAAACTGTTTTATAGTTTATCAGATATGAATGAAAAATGACTGAATGAAATACTAAGGCATTTTAAAAGGCTGAGCTGGGTCTGTGGGTGTTGCTTAGGGATAGGAGCACTTGCCTAGCATGTGTGAGGCTTTGGGTTCAGTCTCCAACATGAACGGGTGGGGAGGCTGATCTGTGGATAAAAATATGTAAATATGCAAGTTATTTGGGGAAAATGTCTGTGATGGGTCAAGAGAATATTTTCCTTAAACCATATACCAGTGGTGGCGAACCTATGGCACACGTGTTGTTTTTCTTTTAAAACAAAAGCTGTTATGTCGTTCTCTTCAGGGTGTCAGGTCCTGAGAGTGAGGTACTCCGTGGATGATTATAAAAGTAAGAAGAAAAAGAAAACCAAGAGAGCAAAATTTCTGGGATCAGGGGGCTTGCAGCCTCTGGGACTGCCGTGCCAAATACCAGTTTCAGTGACTCTTTGTTCAGAAAAAACAAAAAAAGCAGCTGTGCAAAAGGGAGGATCTCAACTAATGTAGCAAGGACAATAAACAAGACTAACTAGCGATCACGTTATCATTCCTTAGGGGATATCTCAGCGAAGCAATTAGTGTTGACCCCGGGGTTTTCAATACTTTTGCTAGACTTCCTCCAGAACCCAGCAATCAAGGCTTGGTCTGGCCTGAGGCAATACACAAAAGGGTAACTAAAGAATGTCTTTCTCCATGGTGGTAGGGCTGGGGATATAGCTCAGTGGCACAAGCACCTACCTGGCAAGCGCAAGGTCCTGGGTTCAATTCCTGGTACTAAAGAAAAAAAACTTTGCTCCATATTACTCTAAAGATGTTGATGTACGAGTTGGTGTTCCTAAGCTAAAACTTCAGTATTCAGGTTAAATTGCAGTGTTGGCACTTTGCAATAATAAGTAGGTTTTGGGTTGCAGTTTGGGTACCCAGTCTCTAAAAGGTTCTCCATCATTGCCCTATAGCTTTAAGGTTTGCTATTGATTTTGAAATATACTAAGAAATAGGCAATGGTTTTTTTTTCACTTGTTTTATGTATTTTCTAGAATTATATCTGACACAAAAGAACATTTCCCAACTGCTGCTGACTATGATTAAACAACTATTCAAGTTGATTTTTCTGAATGAAGTTTTTTTTAAAAAAGACATTTCAGTGATCCCAGCACTCAGGAAGCTGAGGCAGGAGGATTGCCATGAGTTTGAGGCCAACCTGGGCTATAGAGTGATTTCAGAGGCAGCCTGAACTGCAGTGAGACCTTATTGCAAAAAAATACTTTCCAGTATGAAATGCTCCAAACCAGAAAAGTTTGACAAGATTTAAAAGGCTGTAGGCTCATGTATGACTCCAGGTATAGCCTATATTTGTGGTGGCCCTGAAAGCTTGAAATTCTAAGATTTCAACCAGAATATCAGAAGAAATCATCCTTGTACAATAAATACCTAGGTTTCCATTTGAGGCTATATTTTTAGCTAAAATGAGAGAAAATGAAGGTCCATCTAATCCTTAGGAAAGTCTAATCACTTAATAAGACTATATAGAAATTGAAATTAGAAAATGGGCTGGGGATATAGCTCAGTGTCAAGGGTCTGGATTCAATCCCCTGTACCAGGAGGAAAAAAAGAGGAGGAAACTAAGACTCAGAGATCTGTTTTTTTTTTTTTTTTTTTTTTTTTTCACAGTACCAGGGATCAAACCCATGACCTTGCACTTGCCAGGCAGGGACTTATGCCACTGAGCTATATCCCCAGCCTTAGACCCAGAGGTCTGAAGTAAGCTATTCAAAGTTTTGTAGTTCGTTAGCAACAGAACTTAATATATTGTGCTTCCTATTATGCTGCATAGATTTCCATATTTCTGCAAACATTACCATAGCCTCAATTCCACTGACTCAGCCTCTGCTCTATAAATAATTAAAACATAGTTATTCCTGTGATGTTGAATAAGTTGGGAAACTTTGCTCGGAATGGACAAGCAACACTTAGAAGATATGATCATATAAATGCTCCCAGTAATCATTTAAATAAAAGAGGACTTATTGATGTAGTCCCCCAGGATTTCAAATTAAAATGAAATTGAAAGATTATTCATTTATTTAGACACATAACTATATTTGTTATAATGCAATCTTTTTCATTCTACTCTGACTCTTAAAATGAAATGTGGTTAAATAAAATTTTAAAAATTATGTATTGAGAACACCTTAACTTTTTTCTTTATAGCAATATGGTACAGACAACTTTTCCACCATGTATTGCTAAAAATTTAGGATATTTTCCCCTCTATCTCAGTATTATCTATGATCAAAAAGTTTGTATCTAACTGAACTAAGTATATACTTAGCAGAAAGTTGTATCTCAGTTAGAATTTCAAATGCATTCTTACTTGTATCTGTTTAAAAATATCCAAGGAGATCAGAATGCAAAGCTCTGTGTATTCTAAATATCACTGTAAGTCCCAGTGATGTTACAAATATTTCAACAGCTCTGACTCAGGTGGATAACCTACTTTTGTGCTCCTCTTCCGTACTCTTTCCAAAATTATAATTGCCCAGCTAACTTAATCTAGTTATGGTTACATCAATTCTAGATTCCTATCACTGGGACAAAATTGGCTCAGTTTCCATGGGTTCAGTTTGTGGTTTTGCTGTTTCCAAGGAGGAAGTAACATGGTGGAAGAGCATGCCGGAGAAAAGTGGCTCAGGTCATGGTGAGCAGGAAGCAGAGGGAAAAGGGAGGATCTAGGGAGAAGAACACACTCTTCCAGGCCTCCAGGCAGCCACAGTTTTGATTAGGCCTCACTTCCAAACAGCGCAGTCAGGTAGGAACTCATCAGTGGACTAATCTACTGATGAGTGTTGTGGCTCTGTGATCCAATTGCCTCCCCAAAGCCCCACCTCTGAACATGAGATTTGGGGGACTTTTGGCCTAAACCATAACAGCTTTACTTCCTTCTGTCCTACACAGGTCTCTCTTTTTTTATTTCTTAGACATAAAATGTTACACCACTGATGTTAGATTAATCATTCATAGTACCGTAAAAAGTATTAGACACCAAATAATAAAGGGCCACATTTCCAGAAGCGCAAAACCTTGAGAGGGAAAAGAAATCCATACTCTCCATGATTCCTTCTTGGAAATAGGGCCCTTGAAAATAGGACCCTTTCTGGATTCTTACAGAACTTCTTACGCCTTCTGAATGCCACCTGGCATCTTCTGCTTTGTACTTTTAATCCCACAGTGTAGTATAAACACATCACAAACAGTGATTTGTATTTCTGAATTTTCCAGAGCCCCTAATACCTTATGTGCAGAAGCCCTCACAACAGAATGTCAGAAGACCATATCTCTGAGAGCAAAGTGGGGAGGGTTCACCACTGATAAAGGATGTGGCATAAGAGATTGATATAAGACTTGAACATACCCATTTCATGAAAGCACTCTTCTTGCATTCCATACAAAGCCAACAGATGCTTCAGGAGGGAGCAGGTCTCTTTTCATGGGTATGTCATGCAGGAGACTTTGAAAGGAGAAACACTTCATGATTTGGAAAGCACTTAAGATTGTTCCTACCTTTCTAGGAGAGCCAAAAAAGGTGAGGGCCACTATGAAAACATTTACAGAGGTTCTTTTCACTTGCAATCTTTTATTTATTTTAGGAAAAATAAAACAAACTTTCATAACAAGAGAATAATACTAGTAAGTACACTGTGTATCATTATTTTCCCAGTAGTTACTCAGAGTACAAGACATAGCAAAAAAGACTCTTACAAAGAAGAAACAAAACAGATAATAGCACAAAACTTTCTTTTCAATGAACTAAGAGAAGCTAGTAGTATAAATGAATCTTGAATACAGTCTTGTTCCAACATGATAATCTCTCAGGTATAATATAACCTGGTTTCAACTCTCTGTTCCTCAAGATTTTCCACCACCTTGGTTCTCAAAATAAGGTCCCAAACCTACAAGCAGTTGTTTATTCCTTGTACCATTTAGAAAGGAAGAACTTCCAACCCCACTGCCAGATCTATTGAATCAGCAACTCTGAGAGGGAACCTCAGTACCTCAGATTGTGAAAAGGCTTCTGTGTTATTCTGCTTAAGCTGATGTGAGAATAACTACCCCAGCCTACCCAGCCAACCTCCTGTATACCATTGAGTCAGGTCACCTGGGAATGTGTTCTTTGGCTTTGGGTTCTTGGACGGTGAAAGAAGTGAATGTTTGTGAGGAAATAATGAAGCTTACTTTATTTTTTCTAGTAAAATAAAATACTCCAAAGATCTCTCCAGGAAAACAAGACCTTAATTATCAACTTTAATCTTAATAGGATCTGCCAATTCCTCTAAGGGCTAGAAGAGCGCTTAGCTGGACTCTGTAACTTGATCTACAACGAACTGGACTGAGCCAGCCTGAGCTGATATTTTCCTTCAATGATGGCCATACAGAGCTTGGTAAGCTGATCAATAATGTATAAATTATTTAAAGAAATAGGCTTAGTTTTAAAAAGAAAACATCAGCATTACATTTGATGATGTATCTGATTCTCTCATTTTACAGAGGTTTAACAACCATTTAGTGATACAATCAGAGCCACAAACCAAGCTGTTGTTATTCATGAGGGGGCTTTTGTTCTAAGGATCTAACATTGTCCACAGGGCCAGGAATACTTTCCATGACCCAGCGTCTACATCTCAACATTTTCCTTACATAAAATGGGTGACAAGTCTTGGTAGATCAAAGCCCAGGATGCGACACTGCCCTCAGGATTCCACAGTCTGATGGTTCATAAGCATTTGAATATCTATTCAAGTTTCAACTGAAAACCCATATACTCATCCATTGTTTTGTCAAAAGATCCCAGGAAAGTCTGTAAAACTCTATTGTATCCATCAGAATAAGTTTTGGTTGCAATAAACAGAAATCTATTAAGTTAGCTTCAGTAAAAACGTGGGCATTGATTTAAGTGGGGTCAAACAAAGAGATGGACAAGCAGACCTCAGCAGGGTAGGATTTGCAGTGTGGAAGTCCTTCCTGGGTCTCTCCTTGGTCTGATTCTATCAGCTAACTAGCTTCACTCTTCTTTGGGGGAAGAGAATGCTGCTTTTCTATTTCACATGATACATGGGGGATTAAATAAAAGCCACAGCAGTGGTGAGTTCTAGGTATTAAGTATAGAACTGTGCATTGGGACACTCAGTATCGTCTTTTTCATTTAAAAAATTTTCACTGAGCTATAATCCACAAATTAACAAACCATAAAGTTCACTTTTAAAACATACAGTTCAGTGGTCTTTAGTAGAGTTTATCTTCATCATTCATGTATTCTACGTTTAAATTTGTGGCCTCAAAATCAAGATGTATGACGCTTCCCTGATCATCCATGGACATGTGCAGAGTGGAAAAAAAATTGAGTCACCAAACAGGCATGTTCCCAGAAGGGGTTGAACAAGATAATGTTTTGTTTTCTTATTTCAACTGTCACCCAAACTGTCTCTTTAATGGTCTATTTAGCAGTGCTACGCTTTCCACCACATTTTTATATTCTTTTGTTGGTGATTTCACTGTTTAAAATAGCCCATAAGTGTAGTGCTAAAGTGCTGGCTAGTGTTCTTATGTGCAAAAAGCTTGTGAGGTGCCTTATGAGGAAAATACATGCGTTGATAAATTTTGTTCAGGCATGTATACGGTGCTATTGGCTGAGTTCCATGTTCCAAGCAACAGTACAGTGTATCCAGAGAGTGAAAAAGGAAATTTGCCAAATTTGCTAGTCTGTAAACAAGGTTGTCCCAGAAACTGCTCAAGTAACATCTGCGGCTGTGGGGAGCTATGAAAATGATAGAAATGGGACTAAATTGGTGCATTCATGAGACAAAAGCCAACTAAAAGGAAGTGTACCAGGGAGCATCGTTGTAGGCTCAAAGTCAAAGAAAATTATGGTCATTTAAATCAGGGTCAGAAAAACAAACTTTTCTTGACTAATGTTTTAGTATACAAAAAGTCTGTGTGTAAAACTAATTATGAGAAATATATATTGGAGGTTAGGGTTGGAGCTCAGTGGGTAGAGAACTTGTATAGCATGAGCAAGGCCTTGGGTTTGATCTCTGGGGGTAGGAGGGACTGCGTGTGTGTGTGTGTGTGTGTGTGTGTGTGTGTGTGCACGTGCACACGTGCGTGTGTGTATCTAAAGGCAAATACACATAAAGTTGTCACTGTAACACATAGTGGCCACTAGCTCCATGTTTCTGGCAATTTTATAGAAAACAAACAATTAGTATTAGCCGGGCATGGTGGCACACGCCTGTAATCCCAGCACCCAGGAGGCTGAGGCAGGAGGATCGTTGTGAGTTTGAGACCAGCCTGGGCTACAAAGTGAGCCCAAGTTTAGCCTGAACTCCATAGCGAGACCGTGCCTCGAAAAGACAAAAAACAAACAAATAACTAGTATTAACTCCCATGAGAAGCAAATGTTGACAAAATTATGCCTTAATCACTACTAAGTTTAGTCATCCCTAAAAGAACTCTGTACCCCTTAGCAGTCATTTCCTATTTCCCTCTTTCCCTGACTCCTTGTAATCGCTGATTCATTATCAGTCTCTATGGATTGCCTAGTGTACACATTTCACATAAATACAATCGTACAATATGGCCTATTGTGTCTTGGTTCATACACTTAGCATAAAGTTTTCAAGGTTCTTTTGCGTAGTATGTTCCCCTTTATCCATAGTTTCCCCTTGTGCGGTTTCAGTTATCTGAGATCAAACATGGCCCTGAAAATATTTGCGCAAAGTTCCACAAATAAACAACTCATAGATCTTAAACTGCCATTCTAAGTAGTGTGATGAAAATTTATGCTGCCCTGCTTTATCCCGCCTGGGATAGGAATCATCTCTTTTTTCTGTATATTTATGTTATATGTTGTCTATGCTACTTACCCCATGGGAGGAGAGGAGAGAGGAGGGGAAGGGAAAGGAGGGGAAGGGAAAGGAAGGGAGAGACTGAGAGGCTACATTTGTCACCAGGCAAGTCGTAGGAGGTCCCCAAAGCAGAGATGCAGAACACTGATTCACCCTATTCGTAGTCATCCCAAGTTCCCTGACTTTCATCCCAGAAAAAGGATTTTCAGGCCATGTTAGTAAGAGGCATAAAGGGATTTATTTAGGCAAGTAAAGTTCATAATCAAGAGTAGGGTGTATACATTCAGAGAATGGTGCACATTATTTGCTGGAACTGGGAACATTTATGTTTCTTTTCAGAGAGTGGAAACCTATGGAATTTGTGAATCTGCAGGAAGTTCTATCTTGGTCTTAGCTTTTAGAATAAGAGCTACCCTTTAGGAGGTTAATGGCTCGTTTTACAGGTGAAAGCTATGAGCCCAGTTTTTCTTCTTTTTTAGAAGAGGTGATGTAAGCATTCTTTAAATGTTCTCAATCTGTTTCTTTGTTTTTGTTTTGTTTTTTTGGTTTTTCTCCGGTACCGGAACCGAACTCACAACCTTGCGCTTGCCAGGCAGGCGCTTTGCCGCTGAGCTAAATCCCCAGCCCCTGAATCTGTTTCTTTATTTTAAAATGGGGTTCCTGCTTTTTACTTTCTCATCTAGATAATTTATGGACATAAAGAATTTTGTCTTTCTTTCTCTTTTCAGGTGGTCAGTGTTCCCTCATGGGCCTTCATCCTATAAGAATTTAAATCAGCTCTCAGCCCAAGGAGAGAGGGTCTTTGAAGAATGCTCCTTTTGTCCATGCCATTGGGCACAGGCTATGGGGCCTAGGAAGGCTGAATGCCTTGTTTTGGAAATAGCTGGTCAGGTGGCACACTTGCGGAAGGAGTGTGCACAGTGTACACACCTAAAATGCCATTGTGCTCTGTGGGATTGCTTTAGGTCTGACACCTATGGAATTATTATAAATGCATTATATAGCGAAGTCTCCATTTCTTTACTTAAGTATAACTGGCAAAGCGTGCTGTTTTGTACCCCTCCTTGTCTTTCAGGGCAACTAATGTCTAACTACCTGGCTAACACCTTACATCTTTGTTCCACTAGGCTCAGCAAAAGAAAGCTCTAGCTTAGTTTTATCTCTTTTCAACACACTTGCTGTTTTATTCTTATTAGTGCTATGAGCTGAGCTGTACTCACTCTTATTGTATCTTTTTCTGTGTTGAAGCCCTAGTTCCTTGTACCTCAAACTGTGACTGCTTTGGGAAATAGGACTTAAAAGAGAGTGAAGTTAAAAGAAGATCTTGAGGGTGGGTCCTACCCCAGCATGACTGGTGTTGTTATAAGGAGAGGGGATTTAGAGAGAGACACAGAATGGAACTGGGAATTGAACTCAGGACCTTGCGCTGGCCAAGCAAGGAAGGTGTTGTACCGCTGAGCTATATCCCCAAGAGACACAAAGTGAAGCCATGCGAGGATGTAGAAAACACCTACAAGCCAAGGAGAGAGACCTCAAGGGAAATCAACCTGCTCACACCTTGATTTTGGACTTCCAACCTCCAGAATTATAAATAAATAAACCTCTGTTTCTCAGGCCACCCATTCTGTGGCACTTTATTTTGGCAGCCTTAGCATGTATTCAGTGTTGCCAAAGGGATGGTGTTTTTAGGTATTAGCTTTTCCCATGTATCTGGTATTTTTATTTTCATGTTTGTGGTACTGGGAGTTGAATAGAGGGAGAGCTGAGCTATAACTCCACCCACTGTAAACTTTTAGTTTGAGACAAGATCTTGCTAAATTGCCCAGGCTGTCCTCCAAAGTGTGATCCTCTTGCCTCAGCCTCCTGAGTAGCTAGGATTACAGGTGTGCCCCGCCACATCCAGTTGAAAAGTGGTATTATTAAATACTGTCAATTCTGTTTCTGCTTCTACGCCAAACACACTAACTAAATGATGTCATTAAGGCAGATACACAGGCACTGCTGTCTAGGCACTGTATTAAAAAGTTGCTATGTACAGTGATAAATAGCAACACTCTTAATTTATCATGTAATGTAATTTTTATCCCTTTGCACTGATTTAGAAATTAAACTGAGTTAAGGAGATTTAGATTTTCTAGCTAAGGTCCTCGGAATTTATTTTTAGGTTCAAAATTTCTTTCTCTTTTTTCCTTTTCCTCTAAACATTTCTCCTTGAGAATGAACACTTAACCGGGGGTGACTATTGGCCAGGTATTTTTCTACGTGCTTTATTTGGCCAACAGAATTTTTATTCGAGCTTCTGAGGTGTGCCAGGTACTCTTCTAGGTGTTGTGGACATATCAGTGAAAAAGGAGAAAATAAAAGAAAACTTCCCTGCTCTTGGGGAGTGAGAACATTGACAAAAACCAATAATTAAGCAATCGGCATTAGAGAAGATGGAAAATGCTTTGGGAAAAAGACAGCTGAAAGGATCTTAATGGAGAGGAATTGTGATTTTTAAACAAGGTGATTAGAATGGGCCTTACTGAGAGGGTGGTATCTGAGCAAGGCAGAGGAGGCTGTCAAGTTACTCCTGTGCACCTATTAGAGAACAAATATCTGACAAGAGAGACCAGCCAGGGAAATGTATTGGAACAGAAGTGTGCCACGGGTGCCAAGTGTGCCATTTCTTGCTTTCAAGAAATAACCACAACCTTCACTTTTGCTCTCAGTGGCATGTGGGAACAGTGGTTTTTTTTTTCAAGCCCTGGGATTGAACCCAGAACCACAAAATTGTGCATGCTGGCAAGAGCTCTGCCACTAAGATACACCCTCAGCCCTGGGGAGCAGCTTTTAAGCAGAGAAATGACACCATCTGAAAAGTTAAAAGTGTCAGTCATGCTGAGTTGTGATGGAGGATAGCATCCTGCAAAGAGCAAGTGGGAGGTTACTGCTGTGATCCTGGAGAAGGTTGATGGAAGACTGACCAGGGAAGCAGCAGTGGGGGCCATGTGGAGTGGTTGAACTCAGGATATATTTTGAACAATGAGGCTAGCATGATTTCTGGTTAGGCTGGTGAACTGTAAACTATGCTTCTAAAGTTTTTTGGTGTGGGGAACCTGAACAGCAGAGATGCCACCAGCTGAGACGGAAAGAGCAACAGAAGCGGGTTTGTGGAATCGTGTTAGTAGGGGCTTGGTTTTGGACGTGGTGGTTTGTTACTGTTAGATGTCCAGGTGGAGATGATGAATAGACAACTGGATTCATCTTTACATACATGAATTTGGTTAATCCTTCCAGCAGGCTTCTAAATAGATCTTATTAGTATTGTAATTTTTAAATGAGGAAACTGGGGTACAGAGAAGCTAGGACGTGCTCCAAATCACACAAGTAATAGGTAACAGGACTGAGATTTTAAAAATATATATTTTTATTTCAGTTTATTGGTACAATTTAGGTGTACATAATGACCACATTCATTATAGGGAGTTTATATCTGTACATGATATATCTTGATTCCTCTTTTTTTTCTTTCCCATTCCCATCCCCTCTTTTTAAATCCCCTTCCCCTCCCTGTTCACAAAACTCAGTTTTCATTTTATCCTTTTTTCTCATTTTTCTTTCCCTTCTTTCCTTTCCCTTCCCTCTCCCTATTTCCTTTTTCCTTTTGAACAGTTTCTTCTTATTTCACAATATCTGTTGTATGTTTATGTTTTTATTTACATTTTTAGTTTCTCTCACCAGAGAAATAATGCTGTATTTATATGTGTATGCAATTTATTTCACTTACGATTACAGTCTTAAGGTCCATCCATTCAGCTATAAATGTCTCAATTTTATCCTTCTTTATGGCTGAGTATTACTCCATTAGATTAAAAAAAAAACACAACTTTTTACCCATTCATTGGTTGATGGGCATTTGGGTTGCTTCCAAGATTTAGCTATTACAAACTGCCTCTATAAACATGGGTGTGCATATATTGTTGTGGTATGATGCTTTTAATTCTTCTGGGAAGACACCCAGAAGGGGAATATCTGGGTCAAATGGGATGGGTAATTGTAGTTTTTTGAGGACTTTCTACACTGATTTCCACAGTAGTTGCACTAGACTACACTCCCACCAACAGTGAAGTGTTCTTTTTTCCCCACAGCCTCTCTAGCATTTGTTATTGGTTGATTTCTTGATAATAGCC